TCAAAAAACTAATAGAACGGGCCCAAAAACAAACTCTTGGAGGAAACGACCAACAAACGTTACATTCATTGCTTGGACACTGGAAATTGAGACTTGCGGTAGAAAGCGAAGACATAGACAGCACATGGCTAACCATCATCAAGGCAAAAACAGAAGCGACTGATCATATACTAGGAAAACAACCCAAAAATAATCACAATAATTCGTTCGATAAAGAATTAGAGAAAAGAAGATAGTAAAGGTAAGAAACCGTGCAAGACAAAGTATGCATCAAAGAAGAACGGACGAAAAAACAAGACTATATGCAGAACTAAAAAAAAGACCCAGAAATTTAATGGAAACAAAGAAGAGACAGCACGAGCAACGAAGACTCGAAGAAATGGAACGAGTAGGCAATCACAACCGGTCTAGAAAGTTCTAAAACAAACTTTCAACCACAAAAAAGTTTTATACCTAGGGCGGAAGCCATAGTGAAGAAGGAAGATGGAAGCATAATGACCACCAAAAACGAAATAATAGAGAAATGGAAGCAGTACTTTGACAAACTTTTAAACATAGGTCAACAAAATGAACAGACCATCAAACGGCAGAACCGCCGGTGGAAGAACCCCCTTACAGCAAAGCTATCGAAAAGCTGAAAAGTAACAAAGCTCCAGGAAAAGACAACATACCAGCAGAGCTGCTTAAATATGGAGGAGAAGCACTGCAAAGGCAACTATCTTAGACTTATTGCCCTTATATGGAGTCGGGAGAAAATACTAGATAGGTGGAAAGAAAGCCTGTTCATCTCTATCCATAAAAAAGAAGACATAGCAAATTGTGGTAACTATACAGGGATATCTTTAATCAACACGGCATATAAGATCCTGACAAACATGCTTCTGGAACGCTTTAAACCCATCCTAGAGTCAGGCTTGGGGGACCACGATTGTGGATTCTATAAAAATAGACCTACTGTCGAGCAGATATTTACAATAAGGCAAATGTTGGGAATTTCAATCAACTGTTCATCGACTAGACATTCATGCAATAGTATTCAAACAAAGAGTTAAGCTATGGGACGCAATGGTGGAGGTGGGAATTCCCAAACAGTTAATCAGGCTGACAGGTGTATGTATCAACGGCTTCAGTAGTAGAGTAATATTTGGTGAAATACTTTCGGAGTCGTTTGAGGTGTCTAGTGGCTCGAAACAGGGGCATTATCTCTCCCCTATTTTAATCAATATAGCTTTGTAAAATGCCATAAGATGTGGGAATTAACTGCCGAGGTTTTTGGTATTCATGGCCCAAAGGATCTCCTAGATTTCACCGACGACATTGATGTGGTTGGAGACACCGTAATAATGGGAAAGGAGTTATTTAATAAAGTTGAAAGCCAGACGGAAGTAATTGGCCTTAAAATTAAAGAGGACAAAACGAAATACACGTGTGTTTGTAAAAGAACAAGATGATGTCGGAAACACAAAGCAGTTCCGTCCAAGAACAAACAACGAACTGACTGAGCTCTATGAGGAACCAGACATTGTCAGATTAATTAAGGCCCGGCGGATGAGATGGGCTGGACACGTACCGGGATATTGATTGAAATTTGGCCACCCGGTTTTTGCATCTAATTTGAAATTGAGAGAAAAATGTTAAATACAAAAGTTGTAGATATTAACGTCTAGTTTATTTTAAGATAATACTAATTGATACGGGTGTCTCAAATTCAAGTGCTTGACCAAACTCAAATTTTTATAAATGTAATGCCCGAATATTTAAATTGTTAGATAGATAAATTTAAATTGTTAGATTGTTACATAGAAAATTTACATCCAAGAGGACTGGAATTTTGCGTATAGTTGGAATATGAAATCAAAAATGTGCGATTCCATTGAAAAAAATGTAAGTTTGTACCATCACTTGAGTTTGAGACACTCTGAATGAATTAGTATTATCTTACAATAAACTAGACGTTAGTGTCTAAAACTTTTGTATTTAATATTTTGCTCTAAATTTCAAATTAGATGTTAAAACGGGCTGGCCAAAATTCAATCAATTAGGTTATTAACTCAAACACAGTTGAGAATCATTATAGAACGTGTATATCGAATGGGCCTAGAATTTTACGAATATCTCGAATATGCAATAAAAAAATACGGCACTCCATTTAAAAAAGGTAAGTTTGGTTTGCCACTAGAAGTTGAGACACTCTGTATCAATTGATATTATCTTAAAATAAACTAGACGTTAATATCTACAACTTTTGCATTTAACATTTTTCTCTGCATTTCAAATTAGATTAAAAAACGGAGTGGCCAAAGTTCAATCAATATTGGTTATTAACTCAAAAACAGTTGAAAATCATTATAGAATAGTTCGAATATGCAATAAAAAGTACGGCATTCCATTTAAAAAAAGGTAAGTTTGGTCTGTTACTTGAATTTGAGACACCCTGTATCAATTGTTACTATCTTAAAATAAAC